AAGGTCAGGAGATCAAGACCATCCTGGCTAACATGGTGAAACCCCGTCTCTACTAAAAATACAAAAAATTATCCGGGCATGGTGGCGGGCGCCTGCAGTCCCAGCTACTTGGGAGGCTGAGACAGAAGAATGGCGTGAACCTGGGAGGCAGAGCTTGCTGTGAGCCGAGATCACAGCATTGTACTCTAGCCTGGGCGACACAGCGAGACTCCATCTCAAAAAACAAACAAACAAACAAATTAGCTGGGTGTGGTGGTACGTGTCTGTAATCCCAGCTACTCAGGAGGCTGAGGCAGGAGAATCTCTTGATTCTGGGAGGCAGAGGTTGCGGTGAGCCGAGATCGTGCCACTGTACTCCATCCTGGGCAACAGAGCAAGACTCCATCTCAAAAAGAAAAAAAAGAAAGGATAAAGCCATGTAAAATGCTTACTAGAGTGGTTGACATGGAACAGGCATTCAGGAGGTTACTGTTATAGCATGGCTGCCTTGACTCAGGGGAGCTCCTAAACTGAGGTGCTCAGGTCTTCGGGTGTTTTTGTTTGTTGTTTTGGGTTTTTTTTTGAGATGGGGATTTGCTCTGTCACCAGGCTAGAGTGCTGTGGCACAATCACAGCTCCCTGCAGCATCAACTCCCAGGCTCAATCAATCAATCTGTTCTCCCACCTCAGCCTCCTCAGTAGCTGGGACTACAGGCGTGTACCACCATGCCCAGCTAATTTTTGTGTTTTTTTGTAGAGATGGGGTTTCACCATGTTGGCCAGGCTGGTCTTGAACTAGATCGTTCTTTACAACCAGGAGACTTGTCCTTTTTCCATTTTTTTCTCTGGGTCCTTCTACCTGTTCCAGGAGGTGGGATGACTCCCTGGGTTTAGCCTGGAGCATGCACTAGTCTCTTGCTGTTCTCCCCACCTCAGGGCTGAACATGGGCCCAGTCGTGGCAGGTGTCATCGGGGCTCGGAAGCCGCAGTATGACATCTGGGGGAACACAGTGAATGTCTCTAGTCGTATGGACAGCACGGGGGTCCCCGACCGAATCCAGGTGAGGGGAATATGAGCAGGGGCTGGGAGGAAGGTGGGCCCAGAGGGCTTCCACAGTGTCTCTGCAGTCTGCTAGGACAGGGGTAGGGTGGCTAGTGTTCTGTGTATGGTGAGGTGGGGGTTGGGGGAAGGGAGCTAGCCTAACTAGAGAACCCCTGGGCCCCTGCAAATGCAGCAGGAAGGATTCCAGGCTAAGCGGGCTCCCCTCCCACTCCCCCAGGTGACCACGGACCTGTACCAGGTTCTAGCTGCCAAGGGCTACCAGCTGGAGTGTCGAGGGGTGGTCAAGGTGAAGGGCAAGGGGGAGATGACCACCTACTTCCTCAATGGGGGCCCCAGCAGTTAGCAGGACCCAGCCACAAATTCAGCTGAAGGGATCAAGGTGGGCATTGAGTGGACTCTGTGCTCGCTGGGTGGAGCTGTGGCAGGGGGCACTGAGCCTCCAGACCCTGCTAACCACAAAAGGGAACATCCCAGCAGGCTGTGCTTGGATCATGATTGTCTACCCTCAAGCTGGAAAACAAGGGGCTACCTACCAAGAGGATTATGCAAGTGACTTTCTTTCTTACTTGGGGTAGGGCTATTCCCTCTCCAATCTTCCAGCTTTTGGGAGCAGGGGAGGGGTCAGTAGCAGAAGCAGAGGGAGGCCTCTTGCCTGAGGGATTAAAATGGCAGCTTGCCATGCCTACCCTTCCCTGTCTGTCTGGGCAGCAGATTCAGGGCTGGGCCCTTCTTTTCCCTCTTTTTTCCTGGGAATATTTTGTACAATATTTTGTACAAAGACAGGCATGAGGAGTGCCTATTCCATGCTTGCCTTTGCAATACCTGCGTCCCCAGCACTGGTCCTGGGCACTTCCCCACCGCAGCCAGGTGTCCCTCCTAGGCACAGAGCAGAGGAGGGAGATGCTCTGGGGAGCCAGCTTTGGCCATATTTCAGGAGAATGTTTCCATGTGCCAAATTCTAGTCCCACAATCTGTCCCCAAAGGGGAACAAAGGGACCTCTGACAGCTTAGATTTAGCCCCAGTTCCTGCACGCTCCAGGGAACGGGGCGTCTGGCCTCACTGGTACTGTGAAAATGCTCAGAGAGCAAGCCTGTGTGTGGGGATATCAGGTCAGGAGCTGGAAGTTCACCTGCAGGTGCCAAAGAGCAGGCAGGCCAGGGCTGGGGCGGTGCCAGACTCTGATCTGAGGACCCCGATGGGGTCCCGATCAGGTCACTCTGCCCCAGTGCTCTCTTGCTGTCTACTGGCAAGGGGGCATGGAGCATCTCTCCCTCTTCTGTTGCCAAATAGAAAAGGGTCAGGGCATGGAGAAAGATGACCCTGATCCCAAACCTGCCCTCCCAAGTCTCTGGCGTTGGGGAGGGCCTGTGTGTTTGTGTAACTGTGTGTGCATGTTGGTCTTTGTGTGCATATCTGTTTTCCAGGTCTGTGTGAGTCCTTGTGCTCCTGCTCCTCAGCTCTCCACCCCAGGTTGCGTCTCTCCTGTGGGCCTCTGTCTTCTGGGAGTAAAGCAGGGTTTCCTATTTCAGGGGATGTAGAGAGACGCCCAGATTACACAGGAGTGGGATGGGGTGTGGTAGCAAAAGGAGGGAGAGGAGTCCTTTTTGTGCCAAATCCCTAAGTGCCGTTTGGGGGCCATGTGTGCAGCATGACTCTCCCTGTCTGTGGCAGGGACCCAAGCGCTTGCTTGAGCCCCAGTGCTCCATGCTAGCACTTGAACTGTCTGGGGTTTGATGGACAGAGGCTCGGGAATTTCCTGGCTTCCCCAGATAGTGTCCTGGGACATGGTATGCTTTGGGGCTGGGGTAGCATGGAATCCCTCTGAGGACCCGGATACTGGTACTATTGGGTGGGGAAGAGGAACCTTAAACTTGGCTTTCTCCAGCCTTCAGCCTGAGTCTAGCATGTTTCTGGCTCCCCAGCCCCTTGTGAAACCTTGGGGGCTGGCAGAAGGGTTAGGAGGTTGAACTCTAGATTCCCTTCCTATCTTTGTCTTCCTTTTACCCTTTTCCCTGCAACCTCTTTGACTGTGGCCTGAATTTGTTGGTCCCTCAGTTTCTCTGTCTGTACCTATTTAAGCCAAAGGCACTAGCCTGAATTTTGCTTGAAGATCACTTTGTCTTGGAAATGACTAGAGAGGCAGAGGAGAAGGGTTTCCAGAGTTACTGGGTTTGGGAGTGGAAGGGGCAGGCAGTGCACTTGCCCCTCCTCATGCCCCTCTGACACCAGCTCCCTGTGGAGGCCTGGTTTCTGGGTACTGCCTCCCTTGGGCATCTTCATGCATCAACCAAATGGGCCATCAGGTACTTCATTAGTCATGGCAGAAGGAGGGGAAAAGACTTGTTTTTCCAGACAGAAAGTCTACTCCCCTGCCCCCAGCCATAGCCCTGGATAGGAAGGGATAGGAAGAGACTACTTGGTGCCATGGGGTAGGGGTGAGGGTATAAGTAGATCAGAGTGGGAAGACCTCAGCCTTGGGTGGCTTGTCTCTGCTTTTTGCCAGGTGGGAGGGCCTGTCCACACCCTGGCTCCCCGTACCACAGTGCCAGCCATGCCCTTCCCCTGGGCAACCATTGCTCCTTTCCTCACCCAGTTGGTGGAGGAGTCAGGAGATGGGAGGCCATGGGCTTTGGTTTTGTAATGTAACCACTGTGGGGGTGAGGGAGGATGGTGTACCATGTATTTCAGTGAAATATTTAATATATTTAAATATCAATAAAATCAAACTCTTTGTAAAATTCCCTGTTCTCTGTAGCTGTTCTGGGCCCTGGGTGGGTCAGAAGTGACAGAGCCTGGTGTAGGGGGCGACCTCCTGCCCCAGGGCTCCGTGGGCCTCTCATCTGTGGTCAGAGGACTTCCTGTGGCTTTCTCCCTGCTAAGGAGAAGCTGTAGTATCTTCAGAGTGTGTGACGACTAAAGGCCTTTCAGCATCATGAGCTCCAGTATATGCCTTCCAGGATTTGTGTGTGACCCCTGCCACGCATGAGGCCTGTGGTGCTTTCCAGTGCCTTGGCCCCTCACAGACTTCTCACTCTAAGGTCTGGCTCATTCAGGAATCTCCCACACACCAGCTCTCACAACAACCTGGACACTGGAATCACTCCCACCCTGACCCCACAGCTCTCGCCGTGCACACAAGCAACTTTTAGTCCAATCTGTTTACTCTGCTTTCTCCATATCCTCCTCCCATTAGTTAGCCATCGGAACTGGGAAACCTCCTTCTTTCCCCCCCTTTGCACTCTTGCCACAATTCCTCTTGTCTTTCTGCAGCCATATCTTCTTAATACAGACTGAAGGTTCTGTCATTGAGAATAGAGTGATCCATAAACCTGGAAAGAAGAGATTCAGAGAGAGATTCAGCCAGGCCAGGCTGGAAAGCAGGAGATCCTTAAAAATAGCTCCTAAGAGGCTGGGCGCAGTGGCTCACACCACTTTGGGAGGCCCTGGCAGGTGGATCACAAGGTTAGGAGTTCAAGACCAGCCTGGCCGAGATGGTGAAACCTCGTCTCTACTAAAAATACAAAAATTAGCCGGTCGCGGTGGTGGGTGCCTATAATCCCAGCTA